AATAATTATCATTTTGATCCATACAATGGTAATGTCTGACTGGGCCTCCTGTCACTTTATTTTTAACAAATTGGGCCCCGAGGTCACAAAGGTTAAGAACCCCTGCACTATGGTATTGCAAGCATCATCAGTGCCTCTCTTACATTTAAGCAAACTGGTCAGGATCCAGTTGAGGACCCACATCAGATAATTTACCATCATTTTTTCGAGACACTTCATCACAACAGATGAGTTTAAAATCTTTCCCAAAGAAACATGTCAGCATCCCAAAGACCTCAGGTCTGTCAGTCCAGCTCTGAGAGCTCCATCAGGTTTTAGGATGCCTCTGTCCTTGAAGGGTTCTGCTGTCAGGTGGTCTCACCAGACTGGGTCCAACAGGACCAAGATCCCAAACACAGCCCAACATGTTTGGACTCGTTTGACCGACTTGGCAGATTTCTTTTGAAATCAGACGCTCTTGTTTCTGCAGGTCCATCTTGTCCACATCTGCACGACTTCAACAAGTCTGACGCTGGAGCAGCTGGACGTGTGGTTCTGATCCGACAACAGAAACACAAACAGGATGAGTCAACAGAGCTGCGGCTCCAGCGTGATGCTCCAGTTACTTTATACAACAAGGAGAGACAAAAGCCCGAAACAAAAATCACATGTTGCGGATCAGAATCCTGTGGAAGTTCTGTTTCTGCTCCAGAATCAAAAATAGATTTGATGAAAACCAACAGTGGATGTTTCAGGGAGATGATTCCTGCTCAGGTTTCATCTGCAGCTGCAGAAGAAAAAGAACAAAAACTCTGATTAAAACGAAGCTTTGTCACTGGTTTTAGTTTTAAAAAGGAGACACGTTACATAAAGTCAGGACTCAGCTTCGGGTCAGAACAGGTTTTTGTTTCTAAATCCAAATATTAAAACATGTCCTGTCTGACTAAATGAGCTCCATTCATTTAGGATTAGTCACAGTTTATATTTGCTGCAGTTTGAACCTGTTTTTATTTGAAATTACTCATTTCTGCTTCATGTTGTCAGTGATGCCAGAAAGCAGGACTGAGTGAAAACACAGGATGTTAAACTTCAGAGAGTGGCAGGTTGGAGAAACAAAACTCAACACAAAGGAAACAAATACTAAAAATGATAACTAGAATAATTCCTGGAGAAACTATGAGAGGATTGCCAGCTATAATTTTTTTAGCAATTTCAATTTTTTAGCAGTTTTTTTCCCGTTGACTTTGAATGGTGCTGTCTGCCTGAAAAGAAAAAGAACTGTGACATCATAGTGGTGTCATCTAAAAACCTCTGTGCATTTGTGACATCATCATCCTCTTATTTGACTGACAGGTGTCAGGTTGTGAAACATGGAAGCTCTGTGTCCGGGTCTCTGCCATGTTCCGTGGGA